TTCTCGTCCGATCACTGAAGTTAAGCAACGTCGGGCGTAGTTAGTACTTGGATGGGTGACCGCTTGGGAACACTACGTGCCGTTGGCATTTTTTGATTTTTTAATACATTTTTTTTAAAAATTTCGTATGCGAAATAGGTATTTATAAATTTAAAATTCTTATTTTTCACACTGGATATCCACCCTCTCCCTGCCACTAAAAAGACTGCCCCGGGAAGTATTATTTCTAAATACGGGCCCGTCTATAGCTGTGCTGAGCAAAGTAGCGAACAGTTACAATGACTTCAGGTATCAAAGCACGAATGAAGGTATATCGTCAAAACCGCATTAATTAGTATTACATTAATAGTTCATTTACTTGATTAGTTGAAATTTTAAAGTGGGTAACAAAAAAACAATAATCATTTTTACATTCTTGCAGATCCCACTGCACAAGGTAGTGACAGTTTTAATTTTTCTTAGGTTTTTTTCTCTTTAAATATCAATAACAGTTTGCTGTCATATTTATCATTCACTTTATCATAACAATTTTAGTTAGTGTGTCGTCATTTTAAAAATATTATTCATGTGCATTAGAAACTTTTGAAGTACCAATATTGTATATTATTATATTTTATACACTCAATAATATTTTCAAATGCAATTTTTTCAACCTTCTGTATTACCTACTAAAAAAGTAAAATAAATTACTTTAATTGCATCAATATCTTAAAATGTACGTAGTAATGTAAACCGTCTTCGCTCAGATAATTGTTGATATACCTATACCATGAATCATGATTTTATACCAATGAATTCAAACTCATCGCATTCAGTATAGTGACCCTCACAGGCCACACAACAAAAACTATGCAGAAGAGTACCCACTTGCCCACATTTTTTATCTATACGTTATATAGTATATTATTATGTATTTAATTTAAATTTTACAATTGCATAAATAGTTATGAACCTCAGTAAAAATGTTAGATCGGTGTAAACTAACCATATTATTAGAAAATATACGAACACAATACTCATAATAGATAATGATAATGTAGGTAATAGGTACCTTCCTCTGTAAATTGTAAATTGTTAAATGGTCATTTATTTGCTTCAACATTAACAAAAAAAGCCTACGAGTTACCCTATATAATATTCTTTACGTAACTAAAGATTTTTGATAATTGGTCAATTCATACTTATATTAAAAATAACTGAATAACATAGGTTATTCTGAACGTAAAATTTGTTATATTATACATAGGTATTTAAGACGAAGACACACGCATGGGCACAACGTCCTCTCTAAGTGTTTGTAATTTGTACGGATGTATAAATTAGTGGAGCGTGTACGTTTATAAAATAATAATATAGGTAATTAAATAATTAAATTTTAAACGCGAGTACAAATGGTGCACTTTGGACGTTTAGGCCAGTCTTTGCAAGTGGAACAATGGTTCATCAAATTAATATCTTTAATTTTAACCAAAACCAGATATACATATTATACTTCGTCACTTTGTTGTAGTCTGTATAGATTGAAATCATATGCGCTTTTAAGATTTTGCTTAAAAAAATAACTTTCATGTGTATGCTGTTATTTTAAAAGGCCTGCAAGAGACCTGTTTTTTTGCTCAAAAACACGCCTTACAAGAAAAACTCACATGAATCACATACAAAGACCCGATTTCGATGTATCTTTTTTAGAAAGAGAAAAACTTCTTACAGCGATTACAGGACGCATTGGACTTGTGATTTTCAAAATTCTATTTCCGAACCGAACACTTAATACGATTTTGATTATGATCAATTTTTACAAGTTTTTGTATTATTTTATTATTATTGATTTAAGCAACGTAATCAAGAATCGAAATCCAGTGAGCCCTACAGAAAATCATCCTCCTTCTGACAAAACAAAAAAAAAATTAATGATAAAATGTTGTTCCTGTAACGCGTGTTTCAAACAAAAAATCACGCTTTTAATTTTTGTTCGACTTTTTGATTTAACTAATGTGCTATATACAGTATTACATCACAGCACATATACACTGTATAAACAATAATTTTATGATGGTGGCTTGGTGAGACAAGTATAATCGTAATCTGAGGCAACGCTCTGAGCTTACGTACTGGCCGTCGTTACTAGCACTTGGATGGGTGACCAGTGACCGCCCAGGTTTCTAGCAACACATCCTTGCCACACATACAACTGTATTCCAACCAACCACCTTCCCCACACAATACCTGGCTAATGACCTTAGTAATTGAATCCTCAATCTAAATTAAAAAAATTGAAAAAAATTGTATAATCCAACATAAATATCAGAACCATTTTTTTCCTGTATTGGGCAGTTATAAAAGTTTAAGCAACAATTAACAGTTATTATTTAGAAATGTATACTAATATTTAAACTTCAACACTTATTTTAAACAGTTTTCGAGCATAAATAAACAACCACAAATTATATTATTATACTTGTTTGTATATTATTGATTTACATTTTTTTTAAAAATAAAGTCATTTAGCAAATATTTTAGTTTTAAAAAAGAGAAAATACATGTTTCTTTTATATTAATATTCATTCATCATTGTATAACGTAAATAATAAATATTATAATTGTATAACATTTCACAATTTCGCATTATTTTTTATTCAAACTTAAAATTATAATAATCTTTATAGTTTAAAACACGCTAATATAATGATTAATCATATAATATAATATATTGTTTTTTTAGCAAATTCAATCACTCCAAATAACTATATAATAAATTATTAAAAATAAGATAAAACTATTAAAAACACTCTAAAAATAATGGTTGATTAAAATATTAAATAACTTTATCCAAGAAAACTAGGCAAGAATACAATATACATAAATATACTCGTATATTCAAAAATATTTAATTTCATAAAAGGATAATTTTTCAAAGAATAACTAAAGTAGGTAGTTTTTTAAGTTAGCATAGAAAAATAATATTTCAAGGGTAAATTTGTTGTAGTTATTTTTTTTTTTTTAAACAAATCAATGATACAAATAATAATGGTAATATGAGTTAAAAACAAAAATGTTCTTGATAATAATTATGAATTATACAGAAATAAAATAGTAATACACAGCCAGCTTGTGTTATTTCATAAGTTTGTTTTGTCTTGAGAATAGGTAAATATATATTTTTGTTTACAAACAGAATACAATAGAAATAAAGGATAAAATACTTAACAATATTAATGATGACATTTTTTTCTCGAAAAAACCTACTCTTAAACATATTATATATCTATGGGTGTATTTTATTAATAAAATCTCTAAAATAGAATATATAGTAAAAATAATTCATTAATTCAAAAAAATATAAATACATACAATATATATATTATATATTTAAATGATTATTACGAGTTTATCCAGATCGATCCAAGGACACTCATAGTTTAATTGCTTATCAAGTTTATTAATATTTGTTTTAGAGATGAATGTTCAAATCAACATTCACTCTTGTCTAAATTAATAATGTTCAACGCGATACTTATTATTTAAGCACCCCACCTAAAATTACTTTTATATACTTCATAATGAGATCGATCACAAATTAAATTTCTCTTAAACTTTGGCTTTTGTAAAAGATTTGAATCCAAATTATGCTCCCCTTAATAAAAATGTTATAGAGATCAAAAAAAAAAAAAACAAAAAACAAAATTATACAATAAAAAAAAATGAAGTCTATCAATTTTAGTTTGAACACATCTGAATTATTAAATTCTTAATTCACATTAAGACTTATTTATCTTTTTTTTACTTTTTTACATATTTTTATTTCCAGAACAATTTGAGCCTTATAATTAAGAAGCTAACTTGGAAAAAATTATATTTCTTTAGAAAGATATGTTGATTTGGGACAGGAGATTGTCTTAGAGAGCATTTATATAATAATAATGAATATAATTATATACAACAGCATGTGACATAACTACTTTAATCTTTTGGTATTTTTACCATAATATTACGTTTGAATGATAGGTTTAAGCAAGTTATATACATTAAAATGAATGTGTATATTTAGTTTTTTATTTATATTAAAAGTCAAATTTAATAATTTGTTTGAATTAGATTTTTTATCAATAGTCAAAAAACTGTCACATGCGTTTAATATATTTCTTAAAAAATAAATAAATAAATAAATCAAATACAATAAAATAATAATAGTAAATACGAACTCATAGAGCAATTGGTAACTACTTAAAATAATATAACATAATATCATATAAACAATAAATAAATCAAAGTAATACAACCAAATAAAATAATGCAATTACATTTGGGAAACAACGTAGTTTGAGAAGCAAAAGTCTAAGTAAAATAAAATGCTTGTTCTCGAAATTTTTTTTGTCATTTGAAAATAAATATAAAAATTATTCTGTGCGCATTTAAAACGTAAAAAACATTAAGTCTAACCATATCTATAAATATAATTTATTATTTTATTATTACAAATTATTGCTTTTTCTTAGGACATTATCTTTTTGTTTTTCATTTATTAAAAACTAATACTTTGTCTTTTTTTAAATTTATAAATATGGCTTTTTTGTCTGGTAGATAAATAAAAATTATCATTTTCATAACAGTCAAATGCATATCAATGCAACAATGGACTTATGAATGAATAAAGTACTTTTCCTAGGAACTTTTTCCCAAGTACTGAAACGTTACAAGTTTTTAAGTATTACGTCGTAGGTATTTGATACCTTAATGTATGTATTTATATGTTTGTATGACTTACAAATGAACTTGGTAGAACAATTATTATTATTATTATTATGATTATTATACACCTAGGTATATTTATATAACTTATTTTACTAAATATTAAATAGACATTTGTTTGTACATAAAACCGGGGTACAAACCTCGACGAAAGTTGATATAGAAAAAAAAATAATAAAAGTAATAAACGCTAGTGTGTCTTAGCGTTTGATAAAAATATAATAATAATATAAAAAAAAACATAATAATAATAATAATAAAAGGAAAAACATTTTAATTTTGGCAGTTAGCGTAAATTGGTGCAGATTGTCGGCATCGGCGGTACCCAGTGAGTCGTTTTTATTACGCCAATTGTGCGTTTTCGAGGGACCCGACAAATCTGGTGCACGCTTTCTTCCATTTGCATTGCGTGCACCACTTCTCTCGGTGTTCCATGCCGTATACCTTTCGACACTTTTTCGTTTCACCGCGCGCTTTTCTCATAGGGCTACTCGGGAACCTTGGTCCACCCAAATTCTGATACATCATTTTGATCTGTTTCTGTAAAAAAAAAACATTTAAAATTTAAAAATTAAACCGTATATACATACATTAATTATTAGGTGACGAATAATTTTCTGGAAAATTAAAATTAAAACTTTTTCTGAAGGAAATGTAATATTGATGGTAGAAACAATGGTGTTGGTGTATTGTAATTCAACAGGAATTACACTCGTGATAATTATTGTGGTCATAAAACTACTCAGTTTCATTTTTTCATTTTTTCATATTATATATTTTTATAATATAAAAATTAAACTTATTATGAACATATTATACTTGTGTAAATAAACATTATAAGCCCATAATAAAGGATAATTAAATAATAAAATGCATTAACTTTATTAAATTTTAATAGAAATTTAATAGAAATTAGTAATTATATTGTTAGTGCTAAATAAAAAAAAATGCATATGACCACAACGTTGATTACATTGTGGTTTTTAACGCCTTCAAATGAATACATTATAGGAAAAAAGTTTAATTTGTCAAAGATTTTCTAAACTAATATTTTCTTTGCCGAAATAGTACACAATACAGTACACACCTGTCCGTTAAGTGATGCGAACGGCCAGTTGACATTGGTGTTTCCAGACGTGCTGGGTATGTTCATCGGACAAGCGCTGCCCGGACGAGGTATGATCAATGTCTTTTGGTATTCAGGATCTATATTAAACGAAGATAAACCAAAAACAAAACAAAAAAATTACAATTAATGATTTTTCGCAGACCAAACAGCGCACACGCGAAAAAGAAGTAATAATACGAATCGTACAAATAATGATCATCTTATTGGGCGCGCATCCTTTACCTTCGTGCGGCGGACGGGCCATATCCCGGTGCGAGAGCGTAGGTGGCGATGAAGCCGCGCCGAGTTCCACTTCCGTATAATAAAATTCCTCTTCGTGATCGTCAATTGAGTCGTTCGTGAAATCGTCTGACGGAGATTTGTCAAGTCTCGGTCTGAAAAAATTTGTATCAGCAAACACACACATAAAATTAAAACGATCGACATTCAAAAATGTATAATACACAAAAACAACAAGAAAAAAAGTATTCTTCCTCGTCAACGTCCATCGCAATACGTATAATATGCAATCTCTAACCCCCCGACCACTTTATTGACAGACCCGAGGTCGATATTTGTATACATATATAAATGCAGAACGATAATATTAGGTATATTATATTATATTTTATTATTATTTTAGAGTTTTACTCCACAGCGCCCTCGGTACATTGTTTAAATACGAGGACGCCGACCGTCGTATAGTGCAATAATAATATCTAACACTCACGTCTCGCGCATACAAATATAGCTGCAGTTGCAATATAATTATAGCAGCTGCATACATATATACGAAATAGTGTATTAATAATTGCACTACTTGCTGATCGCTTACCCAAGGTGATTCTGGCGGACGTGTAATTCGATGGAAGCCACAGTGGTCGTGATCATAACGCATCCGGGCCAAGTGCATTGAAAAACTGTGCGGCAATCCGACTGTAACATAAACGAAAGAAAAGTTAGATTAAACCATAATATAACTATTGTTTTTATTGTATTCGTTTGTTCCAACGTTTAACACAACATATGAGGAACAAAAGTTGGCAATGTAAAAAGTTAATAAAGTTTAGAGAGAATAACGAAGACAACAGTAATTATTGTCGAACGTACAATTATATTTAATAAACGGACAAAGACTATTATGGCATTTTGTACAAACAAAATATTTCTAGGTCATTTAAGAGATTAAATTGTTCTCCGATGTGTTTATTATGGGTAGTGAGAGCATATCCGTCGGTATTCATTATATTTTCTAAACCTAAGAAATAATCACGAGAGATAAAAGCAGAACTCTATAACAAGACGACTATTACATTATAATTCGACCGTCGACCACCGTCGTTACATCGTCGCACGCGAATAAGAAAACGAAATTATAAGGAACAAAAGTATATTACGATTATACATAACGCACGATCGAAAGAAGTATTATTGGTTTATTTAATTATATTTGGTTTAGACTTTAATCGTCTATTGATTTATCGCGACAAGTATGACAACGATAAATAATAAAGGGTGACCGAACATCCCGTTTTTGAGCATCATATTGTGTTCATGTCCTTTCGTCCTTTTCACTAAATTTGAACGGGACGCTTTTTGCCCCATTTTAATCCCGTTATCTCCAAATTATATTATTATGATTATAGAAAAATCCTGCACACGAAACAAATACCAAACAATATAATTAGTTTTATATTGAACTGTTGAAACCAAAAGTTTAAAAGTTAATAGTAATAACTTATCAAAAATAACTTTTGTACAACGAGCGTCGAGTGCCGACGAACAAATGGTCAGCAGTGAGCTTGATAGTTGATACACGTCGTATTGGCGTATTGCATATTTCACAGTGTTATCAAAGTTTCACACTGAATACCCGCACGACCACCACGCTTTCCAACAACTCCCATTATCTCACATGCAAAAATTATTTACAAAAAATGTTTGGAACATTTAAAGTTAATGCAAAATTATTTGTGCCATTTTTTTTTTTTATGAACATGGTCACTCTAAATTAATTACAATATAATATGCTTATTGGCATGTTGATGTAGTTTGTTGTTGGAGCGAACTATATTGCATAGTTATACATTTATATATGATTATATTATTTGAATATATTATATGAACGCCATTGACAACGGGTGAAAGTGAATAATCGTATAATGTTTAAGTCGTTCAGTGGATGCATTTAGCCACGTAGGTACACCAACGCTGCATTGGTGCACAAAATAATATTTGTGCAGTTAAATCGTCGTGCGTCATAATAATGTAAGTGGGCAGTGGCTGAATGTATTATTTTCGGAATTGCCACTAGAGCGGACGAAACATAAATAATAAACACAGATAATTTTCAGCAATTTGATGAATTTATGAGCACCGCGATTATTTTTTATCATTTTAATATGTATTACATTAATATTGAACAATTATTTTACAATAAACGCAAGTGATTATATTCTTCAATATTTCAAATTAATTTAAAGGTAAACAAATCGTGAGAGCGTTTAAATACACAACTCTCTCTCTATAATATGTAAGTACTAAGTACTATATATTAAATAAGATCTACTGTCCGTATAATATGTACTCGGGCGATGGAACGTGTCACTAAAATATTGACATTTGACGGTCACGAACAAATTATGATGTTCATAAGCATTAAGTAGTATTGCCGCCCTGTTCATTTTTTTTAAACAATTCAAACAAGAACAGGAAGATGATATGATATTATTATTTAAATGGCGATGACTATAATTACTGGGTTATGGAACAATCGTTAACAACGATGACATATAAATACCATTCGACGGCCTTTACCAAAAGGCCAATTGTGTGATAAATATAATCTAAAATTCTTGGACAAGAATCAATAAAAATAAATCGGTATACCGTTTCGTGAGAACCATTTTCAGTGCCAATGTATTATATGATTTTAAATATTATATAAATGCAATAAGGTCATTACCGAGAAACATTTGCGTACAGCAAAAAGTTATTTCAAAACGACACAAAGAGGAATTGGGTTAATAACAGCGACAACGTTGCTCGAGGAATTTCATTGAAAGTTTTTGAAACTATTTCTACCGATGAGATGGTTAGTATAACATTCGATGATGGGCGAGAAGAGTAAAAATAAAACATAATCGTAGTGAGTACGAGAGGGATAATTATTGCAAAAGAAAATAAATTATCTATGTACAATACATAATGCATGTAAAAATGCAACAAAAGGTCGACCCCAACAACCTGCCGGCACTCTAATGCCACGATATAATATAATATTATGCTATTGCACAATGCACCGGCACAATGGTACCGATTATAATATACGATCGCGATGCATCACAAATATGAACTGGAAACGCAAGCGAAACGCTTCACGCAAACACACGCTGCAGCTGAGGTGGCGGTCAAGTGCAGGGGAAAAAATCACCGACGCCGGCAGCAGCAGCCGCGATCGGCAAATGTATTTCGTAATATTATTATTATAACGCACATATAGGTACGTGTATCATAATTTACAACACTAATATCGTCGGTGGGTCGCGTCGATGACGTGATGGCACGGGCACGGTATAGGTATGCGTACGACAGTGACAAATCCGCGACGACGGCGAGAGGGACGCCGAAATGAGGCCGGCGGTGCAGCGGCTGACACCGTGTGTGTGTGTACGTCTAAATGGGTCAGGTCGCGAGCGGGGCCGCCGCGCGCGCGTACATGTTAACTGCTGGGAATGGTCCGGGGAAAAATGAGGTCAGTAGGCACGGTGGCCGGCGGTTTTCTGGCGCGCTGGGAACGACGGCGATGACGAACAATATCGGATCGATGAGCGCGCGCGACGGCTGCGATGACAGCGATGGCGGGACGGGGCCGAGGAACGCGGTACCCACGTGTCAGTTAGCGCGCGCGTGCACGCCGGCCCGCCGGTATATGGTGTTACACGGGCGCGCGCGTGTGTGCGGCCGGAAAAGCCGACTTTAGCGCGCGCCAACCGCGCTGGGCGCCCCCGCGATAACAAACCGCGGGCGCCGCCGCTGCATCGTCGTCCTTTGTTGCCGTATCGATCTTCCGCCGGCCGGATCGGCGTCGGCGGCGGGTAGGATCGCATCGCGTACACAACAAAGACGCTCTCCCCTCCCCACGACATAGCTTACCCTGCCGCACGACGGAACGACGGCAGTGTAGTAGTATACCAGCGGTGGTGGCGGTGGATCGTACCCCCCTCCCCGCGACTTTGGTAATCGGGTCAAATGATTAACCCGGTTAACGGAGCGGCCGGGTGCCTGGAAAAACAAACCGAGCGCGCCGGCGAAGTTTTCCTTTTCCTGTTTACGGGAGCGCGCGCAGTGCGTTCAATTATTATGTCACGTCAAAGCATATTTAAAAATAATACAGAACACGACAATAACCGTCGAGATGCAAGATGACTCGTATAATAATAATAATAATAGTACTAACAATATGGCGATGTGCACATAAATAATATTACGCGCATAGTGCGTTATACGATGAATACCACCACAACAACAATATTATATATTTTATATATATTTCGACGGTGCGGGCCGCGCGATCTAAAACTAGGTCAGCTCGACCCAATTCCAGCGACCGGCAGAGGTTCACGACGCAAACAAACATAGTAATATATTCACGCACTCGCGCGAAGAGACCTAGTTTCGCGTGCGCCCCCACCATCGCACGTGACACGGGTTTGGCGATTCGGCTTCGGCGGGACGCCCCCTCCCACCATAAGTCTATCAATTACTACCGTATCCGCTGTACGCCGTAAATTATTATTATACATTATACTTAATACAACGGTTGGTCATTGCGTGCGAGAGAGAAAAAACGCTACGGATCTAATAATTAATTTTTCGGACGGATGCAGTTCCGCGACGAGCGATGGAGCGGTGTGCGGACGAATGTATAATATAATATATTTTGAGTGCACGATGGGATGAATTATAGTTTATTTTCTGATTTTCCACCGCGTTTAAATCGTTAGGCGGGAGCAAAAATGATATTATTAATAGCCGGTGATAACCGTATTTATAGGTACGCGATCTTGACGCAAAATCATCAATGGCCATCGTTTCGGTTTCGGCTTACACATTAATAATATTTTATACACGTCCGATTACACATACCGTGTGGGTATAACTTACTATATAGCCTATATAGATACATTACATAAATCGAAATCACTTTGTATATTATCGGTACGAAAATAAATAAGTATAATACATCATATAATTGTATATGGAGGAACTCCGGCCAAGGTGTGTGTGGGGGTCAAGGTGGCACGGAAATAAGCTAGCTCGAAATAGCAGCAGTAAGGAAAACGGTTTTCGAATAATAATTGTATATATATTATAGTCGTCGTTAGTCGGGAAAGACGACTTATTTTTTGCACAGCGTTTATAACAAAACTGCGTTTGCGTAATGCAATAAGTACGTACCCATACAGCGAGACCGCTGCCAACATTATTCGCCGGTCCCCGCCTCACAATAAATAAGACACGTGCAAACGCAACTTTTTTTTACATTGAACACGGTCTGCGAAACATTTTTAAGGTTTTGTCCGTCGTTCAGGGAGCTTATATTATTATGCAACAATCTTCTCGTGCGGTTTGTCAAAACCATTATTATGTACCATTTTTCATAATAATATGTATTATATTTAAAAATTTTCCACAACCGAATATTGACTTTTTAAGAGGACTATCATCGTAATATTATGTGGCACTAAATTACTATTGACACTATGTTGATGCTCCCGTCACCATTTGGCGTGACATCTAATACAATGTGTAATAATATTCGCGTCACAAGTGAAAATGTGGCCGGGTATACGTTTTTAAACAATAGACAAATATAATTTATTGTTTTCGACAATTTAAACCAGCAAATTTGTTTTCGTTTTTTCCCCCATGCC